CTCAAGAATAAAGACAGGAGAAGAGAAAGGCACACAGCAGATGGCACTATAAACCAAAAGAATACATGACCAGAACATTAAACGGGAACAGCAGACATGCTCTTTGTTCTTTTGGTTCTGTAAGGACAGGTTTAGGCATGCAGAATGAATATTTTTTGATAAAAGAGGATCATTGCAGAGACACTGCTAAGCATTTTTAATGTATTCATTGATATTTAATGCTCACTGTACATGGTTAAGCTGATTTTTGCTGTCCTCCTATAAAGGCATTATGTCAGACATGCACATAGTTCTTAAATAAAAGCTCATAAAAGCTCCGGATAACATGACCGATCGGCTATAAATCTCCTGACTTCCCTCACTTTTATATTCTATCCACGTACAACATAATGATCACAATGACACATCTGCAATATTTCGATTTCTTTTATTGTTATAATTTAACAGTTCAATTGTAAATTAATCGTTTGTCTAGTATAATCAAATTATGACCATATAGTAAATATCAGTTCAAGAGTAAAAAGGATTCCCCTGTTCCTTTGCCAAGGCTGCCATCAGTGCCAGTGAGCGTACGTGTTGCATATAAATGAAGCAGGTTTAAAGATCATTGCTTCTCATGAGTGTGTTTAATGTTTCTCAGCCTTGGATTTTTCCCTCTGCAGGTTACATCCGCTTTCTCCATGCCTGCAATCCTGGGAGCCTGTCTTAAATCTGCACACGTTGGATGTTATATGCCTTCTACTGTGCGCATTTTAGCTCCTGCCACGATGAAAAGCCTCATCCTAAATCCCTGCTTGTTACGTGCATGAGATCTAAAGCCCGATTTCAAATAAACCTTTCTTCACTTTCTTCCCCCCTTTCTTCCTGTTTTTCTGCATCACTGCCTCTCTCATCCTCGTCCCTGTTTCTTTTTAATTATTTTGGTCAATCACTCTGAGATTAACATGTACACCGTGTGAGCTAGAAAGCGTGCTGAAATTAAACTTCCTTGTAATTTATCATGCGCTGGTGATCATGCATGCATTAACATATAGAGTTATCAGTCTCTCTGTCTGTGCTGCTGTGAATCTGGAAACCTTGACATTGACTTATGGCTGTATGTCTTTGCGTCATCTATAGGCACACTTTAATATGTGGCATGACAACATAAGCTTAGACTTTGCATATGTGGCTGTATGTATTTCCTTGCAAAGAAATCTGTGAAATAGTTTTACATTTTTTCAAGTTTAAAAAAAACTGGAGTTTGTTTTAATGATTGAGGAACAGAAAATTATTTGTTGCTGGGAAGTGGACAATGATAGATGAGTTTCAACATTTCATTCACACAAGAAAGGTAAAAGTCTGGTATGTAATTGCATTCAGCCCCACATTTTATTATAATCACAGCCACTTTTTAGGGTATGACTTTACAACTTTCCAAGGATGAGGCTTTTTATTGTTGCAGGAGCTGAAATGCACACAGTTGGTCTAGAAAACAAATGTTTAGCATATTCTTATTTCTTTTCTAGACTTTGAAAAAGTCTTTCTGACTTATAACTACTAGTGGCATGACCTTGGTTGTTTGTTTTGAGTCATTGACTTACTGGAAGATAAACCTCTGCTCCAGCATTCAGTTGTTGGTAGACTTTTCTTTTAAAGCCTGAAGAAGGACAGAAAGATCCTCCACCACCATGTTTCTTAAGATAGTATTCTTCAAACTTACTATTTTATTTTCCATTATATCTCTCTTTCTATCTATACTGTATACATATATCTCATTTTAGATCTGACCTGACTGAAGTACCTTCTGCCACATTTGCTGTTTTCTATACATTGCTTGTGAGAAAGCTTTACCCACAGAGAGAGTTCTGATGGACTCACACAGAGCTGTAAATGGAAAGAAACATCATCTGAACCCAAAACATCTGTAATTGCAAACCAAAGTGGGTATGATAAACCCCACTATAACTGGTAAGTAAAAAAGTCAAAACAATCTAAGGATTTATCAAATTTCCAATGTAAAAAGGGTATCAAGTGTGAAAAAGGGTAAAAGGTAAGAAAAAATCAAAAAGGGATGAGTAAATAAAGAGAACAGTTCCAACTGAGGACCAGTTGGTGGTGCATTTTGTAGCATTGATGCCCTCCAGCAAAAGGTCTTCGATTCTATCCTAGGTCTGGGGTCTTTCTGCATGGAGTTGGGATGTTCTCTGTAGTCGTGGGTTCGTGATCAGTAGTCTGGCTTCATCTCACAGTCCAAAAACATGACTCTGCACTCTAAGAATAGATTGGTTGGAAAAAACAAGCAATCTAGTTGGTTAAACAATTTTTGGTTAGATTGACCAATATGTTGGTCAGAAACTGGCCATGCTTTTGGTTTTGGATCAATTAATTTATTTGGTTAACCAGACAACTCGACTGTAGTCAAGTGCAGTTTATAATACCACATCAGACATCATTTAGACGTTGTTTTTTAGGTTAAATCTGGTCGATCCGTGATGGTCTTGTTTTAGTTCCAAAATCATTGTTGAAAATTGGGCTGTGTTTGGTTGTTCTGATTTTGTCACGCTTTAGTTTGATAATTGACATTGAAAAGACGTTGCAAGCTCTGTTTTCAACATCTTTTCAATGATCTGAAAATTACAGCTTTTCACCTTTCACTTTACAGCGTTGTTTGGATGTAAATCCTGTCATCTTACAATGTCTTCTCAACCCATTTTTGCTTGGTGGGACAGCATGCAAATTAGAATTAACCGTAGATGTAATATTAGTATTAACTGGTATTAAATTCCTGGAGATGTCAGTCTTGACAGGGCTGTTGGATGAAGGAGTTTAACTTTTTTTCAAAGGCTTGTTGGTTCAAGCCAAGTAGCTATACTAATTAACCAACATTTTGTTCAAAGTGACCAATTTGTATTGGTTTACCCTTTTACCAATATAGATTGGTTAAAAACACTACCAAAGTAGATTAGTTGTTTGAAGCCAGGTATTGGTTGGACATATAACTACCAACCAGTTTGGTGAAATTCAACCATTATTTTGGCTTTATTGACCCACCTGTTTTTAGAGTGTAAGTTGCCATGTGTGTATGTGTTTGTGTGCATAGGTGTGTGTCTCTGTTTTGCTCTGCAACAGACTAGGGACCTGTCTAAATGTTCTTTTTTTTAGACTATTGTATTTATCCATCTTACTTGACCCTGACGGACAAGAGGCGGAAAAGGGGTGGATGGTTTTTACTAACTGCAACAGCTATAATTTTCATGTTCTTGGTGCTGATGACTGGTTTGATTATTCATTCTATTCTATTCTATATTGCCCAGCTCTGCCCAGTTTTCCATCAAGTTTGAAGATGTTTCGCTTCCCATCCAGGAAACTTTTACAATTCAAAAGTTTCTATTTAACCACCCTGTTTCCAGTTATCAGTGCCAGATTATTCTAGCCCTTGGTGAGTTTTCTAGTGTACCTTATTATGTTCTGATTGCCCGATCCTAACCCGTTCTGCCCCTAGACCTCTGAACCTGCCTGTTCCTGATCTGATCTGTTTGCCTGACCTGTCTTTGGACTCCTGCTGGATTCTGCCAGTTGATGACTCTGGATCTGTCTCCTGATACTGACCTGGATTTAGTAGCTCTTCAGATCTCTGAAGGCTCTGGACTCCTGGGAACTTATTTGATACCGGCTTTGGCTTCATCCTCTGAATTATCCTGCCTTTCATCTTTTGCTTGGATATGATCTCCTGTCAGTTCTGCTGTCTTCAAGACTTCAGCATCTGGGACTCACTTGGCTGAGTTCGTCACGTCTTGTTGGCAGTCATTAGACTTGAATCCACCTCTTCTTCTGGGCACAGACTGAACTGTAAGACCAGGTTGGTGACTCACACGTTCGTTATCATCCTTAGTCAGATTAACATGGTAATTAACCTGTTTCCCTCCTGCAAAGGTTCCTGCCTTAGATGTCCTAGCTGCCCTAGCTGCCAACGGAAATCTGTTGTTTTTAAATAAATGCTTTATGAGTAATCTTACTGTCTTACTTTCCTTGAGTATTGAGTCCTCTGATCTGAGCCTTGACAATAATTTGGTGTCGAGTTTAGAACCTAGTGAACTAAAAGGAAATAAAAATGCATTAATGTGAAATTTAATGAATTGGTTTCTAAAGTTAAGTATCCTGCAACAACAATTGTTTTCTTGCCAGTGTTACCTAAAAACCAAATTAGATGTATGGCAGATATTTTTGTGCTGCTTCTCCAGAAATGACAGTGTTTGGCTTTTTCACCTTTGTGGTCTCACTTAAATCTACACTGCTATGGTTTGTATGTTAGCATAGTCCTCCGACTTTTAGATGATGGATTGAACAAAGCTCTGTGAATTGATCAGAACTTGGGTTTTATTGCCCAATCCTGTTTAAAATCCCCAGAACTATATCTTTGATCAGTCTGCTGTGTCTTCATGAGGCTTTGGTCTAACAAATCTATGACAATGAAATTAGGCTGAGATTAATGACATAGGTGGACCGAGTTTATTTTTTCAGGGGACTTCTGGAGGCGACTGGTTGAAGTGAATTAGGAAGTGTCAGAGTTAAGGACAGACTTTAGAGCTGTTTATCTTTGAATTTGAAAACCACTTTCTATTCAGTAATCTCATTCAATTATGAACTCAAATAATTTTGTAATTCCTATAAAATCACATTAAAGTACATTATAGCCTGTGACTGTAACTGAACAAAATGAATACATTCTAAAGGTATGCATGTATTGTAGCGCTTGTGTTGGGGAAAATCTTACATTTAAAAAAAGGCTTTTTCAATAAATGAGAATAGTTTAAAAAGATCCAATAATTTAAACTTCATTTTTTAACAAAGGATCTTGGATGACCTGAACTGTAAGTCACACTCTCTTGCTAGAAAATGCCTATAACCTGGGGACCATGCGTGTAAAAGGATGTGTTCTGTTAGAACACTCCTGCTGTGTTTGCTCATGCCTGCCTCCATCTCTCGCCCCCTCACTCAGTCTCAGTATTAATAGGCTGGATCCTGTCTAAACCAGAGGACATGCGCTTTGGAGGAGAAAGGGAAGTGCTGCTCGATGTCCCAGCTAGATAGATGTTTACTGTTGTCTCCATAATCACTTAATCATGATGCAAAATTGATCTTCTGAACGTCTGTTTTAGAGTGACAAAAAACAACAACCGGAGGAGTCGTTTTCTTTCCCAGTTTAGACTGTGATCAATTTTTGAACACTTTGCTGCATTTGGAGCTTTTGGTGTTCAACGATTAAGAAGTGTTAATATTGGACTTTTTTTTTTTTTTGCCTGTCCCCGCCGCCAACCTGAAGTTCATCGTTGTTATTTTGGCCGCCGGGATGGTGGCCTTCATCGGAGCGGTTATCTGCATCATCGCCGCGGTTCACACCGGATCCTCCAAGTCTGCTGCTGGTCAGCGACAGCCCGCTGCCGATAACCACTCTCTGTATCCGGACGCCGCTGCGCAGACCCCCGCTGCCGCAGGGGGCTCTATGGCCCGACCTGGATCTCTGGGAGCTCTCCATGGTTCTGAAACCCCCGATTCCGAAAAGCCCACCTTTAACGTTGGCCTCGGTGGCCTGGACGGGGTCAGCGGACTCACGGGACACGACCCCACGGTCAGCCGACTCATCTGCACTCCGGTCCCCGCCGGAGGGTGTAACACCAGGAACTTTCAACAACAAGCGGATGATCCATCGCTGTACGCCGGGGAAGACTGGGGATACCTCCGGACTACGGCGGAGGAGCTCCGTCAAACCGTTCTGCAGCAGAAGGACCAGATTTTAACTGACCAGAGGACCATCACGGAGCTGACAGGAAAGCTGTCTGAGTGCGAGAAGGGGCTCGGAGGCAGGAGCATCCTGGAGAGACGCGGGAACCCCTCCGCGCTGAGAGGCGAGCTGCACTTGGAGCGGATGATGGTTCGGGACAGCCCGGACTCAGCACCAGAAGGGGTCCATCTGCTCACGGTTGGGACCGTGGATGAGCTTGAACAAGCCATTATTCAACTCAAAGACCGTATAGATAAACTGGAGGTAAGCAAACATGTAGAAAATACCTTAACAAATCGCACACAATGAAAATCAGTTCCAATTAACTAATCATTCAGATATACAACTATGTAGTTTTTTCCTAACCATAACGCAGTTTATTCCAAGTCATTGAAATCAATGAGATTAATCTAAGGAAGCTCTATAAACTGGCTGACTACACATTATTGCTTTATAAGGGATGCAGTGGACAGTGATGTCTGATCACCAGTTATAAAAAGCTCCAATTACAGATTTTAACTAAATCCTATTGCTTTTTAAGGTATTTACATAAAATTTGGTTGTGTTTTTTTCTGAAAAAAAGATGAATATTTATGGACCTCTTAAATAAAATAAAAAAGGTAAAGGAAGTGCAAAATCTCAGCTTTCTATCTGAGGATAGCTGGAAATCTAATGCAGTAAAATCCTGTAGGTTTGTGTACTGAGGCACCTATAAATAAAGTACCGTACTAAAACATATTTGCTATGGAATTAGAGCTGATTTTTTTTGTTATGCATACATTATTAGAATTGTAATTCACTTATTTTAGGTAAAAAGAAGTGTTGATTATCATTTTCTGTAACAAATTACCGTTTGTATCGTTGAAACTAGAAGCAGATGCAATGGCACAATATGTTTGTAGAAGAGCAGTTGCTGTAATACAGCTTTGAATGAAAAATGGATTTCACAAAAAAGAAAAAAGGATTACAGTTCGCATTATAAGCTGCCTTAAGCAGAAACACAGAATTAGTCATAAAAATGATAATGTTTTGAGTGATCTTAAACTCCCTGTTCTCTGAGACTTTGCTGTGTTAGTCTGAATCAAAAGCAACCATCAATCACCTGTATTTTTTTTTCTGCAAGTCTATTTTTTAAAGGGTATTCTCTTACATCAGTTCTTTAATTTGTCACTTTTGGTTAAGTTGAAATCTGGCTGACCAAATTAAAAAGGACAAAATCAACCAAGATGGTTTGTTTCATTCACTCTTGTTCCTCAACAATTGATCTAAAAACTCAAGAGTTTGTTTGTTTGTCTGTTTGTTTTTTCGAATTTCCAAGTGCCAGTTCTGATCTTAATTCAGTCTTAAAAACTAAGCTGCATATGTTATCTTCTTTGCCCATATGTCCTGTCCAAGTTAAACACAAATATGTAAAGGCAAGATTGGTTAAGTCATTACATGAACCTTATGTTTATTTACAAACATATTTTCACTTTGTTTAAATGTAGCAAAATCTTTTTTTTATGTCTCTTCAAATCAATTTAGTTACTGGGAAGTTTTTTGGGGCTTGTCCAGGATTTTCTATATTTCCTAATCCTAGGGGCAAGGTAGTGAAAATTAAATGAAAAAAATATATAAGACTTTATGAAAGTAGGTAGAGGAGCCTAGCTGAAAACCTTAACCCGAGTCTGTGTTTCGTCAGACATTTTAACATATTCTTAAACATCTGACAGAAAGCTGTTATTGGAATTCAGTCCTGTGTCATAGAGTTCAACATTTTTACACAAAACAATTTAAGTCAAAGGCATTTTTGAAAAAAGACCTGCGCTATTAAATATGTGCAGGAGCATGCACAAGCCCATTTCTCCTTGTGCACGTTCTGTTTAAAAGTTGCTCATAGAAGCTTACTTTCCAAAAGTATATTTGTAATTTTGACAATGTCAGTGGTCTAATTTATTGTCATGCTTAGCCAGGCTTTGTCTATATTTAATTGACAAAAATGGGTTTTGAAAACTTTTTTTTTTAGGCGTAAACATCCTGTTCAGCTAAACAAGCTAGCCTCTTAAAAGCCACCTCCTTTTGGGAAATTCTCGCCTATTTTGCATAACCAAATGGAAAAGCAAATAACTTAGTAATTGTAAGCCCAAATTAAATGTGCATTATTTGAAAGCTAAGACCTTCTAGCTTCTGAACATATAAATTAAAATTGGGTGAGTAGAACACAGACCAAGATGCATCAGTTCAAATGTGACTGAAAGTTCTTTTTTTTTATCTAGAAAATTATAGGTCTTTTTTCAACAGCAGTAATAAAGATGCTTGAGAAAAGGCAGGTCTTCACGTGTTAAATTTGTTCCACATCATTTCAACCACGAATGCAGAATACTTCCGACCTCTAGCTACATTAGTTCCAAAACTGTGGGGCTTTGAACTTTTGGTGTCACCACCATCTCCATATCTCTCCAAATGTGCAAAATTGTGCCGTATGCTTTTACTATGCTTTGCTTTACTATTTGACCCATAGAATAACAGTGAAGCATTTTGATGGCCACAAAACATTTATGAAGCAAGTGTTTCCACTTTTTTTCAGAATCAGTGTATAGAACAAAATGTAACATTTTAACACCCATAACATAAAAATCTATAAAAGATAGTGAAACTGCTTCTTTTAAAGCTAAAACAAGCCCCAGTGCCTTTTCTGAGCTGTATTTCCTTTTTTGTTTTCAGCCTTAGCCATTGTAATAAAACAAAAACCAGTGTCCAAACTTCAAAAAAATTGGACTGTTGCTATTACTCAGTTTTGAGCTGTATGCATTGACCCAGCTGGAGCTGTGCGTTTCAGGCTTACACAAGCCGCTAAAATGGGTCTGCCTTTTATAACCTTGCCATGTGTAGGCTTGATTGAAACCTTATTTCATTGGCTACAAAGTCCAACAGCCCAGGTGTTCTTAACCAATAACAGCAGGACTCTATGAGGCATAATATTGCTCAACTCGGTGTGTCACTGGCTGACAGGAAGTTACCGGAAGTGAGATTTCAGCGACTGTATCTGGCTCAAATTACGTCATAAAGTGCGGACACTTGTAGGTAAGAACACGATGTAACCATACCAAACATCATGGACAGATCAAATAAGTATCAGGAAATAAATATTAGCAAGATGCTGAGCATTAGTTATGACCAGCTTACTTTCCTGATGTCAACAACCGGACGTTATGGGCGATCTTCTTATCATGGAATATTTTTATTACGAATATGCTGGATTACTTTTAATCTGTGGACCCTTATGGATGAATGGATCCAATTGAAGATTGGATTTATAAAATCTCGATGCCTTCAAAGCTATGTAGTTGTGGCTGCTTTGTCACGTTTACATTTTGACATGCTGCTATGTCTGTGTTAATTGTGCTTTGGTGCTTGCTATGTCCTTTCCAACGATGTCTAACATGTCTATATTGGTAAACATTTTACCGGTGGAATTTTCATGCATTCTGAGTTATTAGTTGTAAACGCTTTAAAACGCACCGGCGTTGGCTAGACGGCCTATGATAGACAATCTTTACAGGTCGGGATTAGTTTATCCATGTGATCAGCCAAAACTAATCTAACACCAACTTTTTATTGACAGTACAGTTCTTTATGTGAATATCTTTTTAGTTTTCAGCCTATTTTCCTCGGTTCTTTAAAAAAAAAAAAATGTTTTCAGGCTGGATTTCCCTGAAGCTCATTCGTCATTCCTTGTATAGTTGTAACCCAGGCTGATATAACCAAAGAAAAAAGGTAATGTTAAAAAGATGATCTTTTGTAGCTGATCCTAGGTGGCAAACTTCAAGATGACACCCTTAGCCCCGCATCTTGTCAGCATTGCTTATGTTCAGCTACAACAGGCCTACAAGAAACTGGCTCTGACTCACCCAGAATAAAGTGATTTATAACCCCACTTTGGGCAAAAGAAATGCAATGCATAATTCATAGCATGCCTATATTTGTTAGGAGTAACAGAGTGGATGTGCGTCCCTGCAGTGTAATACGCCTCTCTCTGTTATATGTAGGACGTGCCTGTGTGGGTCATTTCCTTTGTTCAGTCTATTTCTTTTTCTCTTCCAACCCACAACAACCTGTAAAATCAAAGTTTGATACTTTTCAGGAAATAAGGAATCCCTTTATACTGCAGTCATTTCCCAAGACAGCAGGTCACAAACATCAGTGGTTTTCACAGGTTTTTCTAGGTAGTTGGCTGCATTTCCTTTTTAATCAACACCTTTTTCCTCTTATGCTGTCTACATCAGGTTTGTATGCAGGAGCTGCTTGACCTACTTGAGAGGCATGAATGGATGTTGTCTACTGGCTCAGATTTAACTGGGCTAGTCTTTTTTTCCTCTATAGGGTTGTCTGTAATTATTTTGCTGATCATGCACTGACTACTCTCAGCGCCTTCTAGCTTCAAGCACTCATGCTGCATCTTACGATTTCAACACGGTAATAAGATCAAATTCACATGTAATACATTCTACACACTATGTTCACTTTTAAAATCTTTTTTTACTGTTTTGTTTAGCGTATGTCTTTTTTTTGCCTATGAGAAGAAAATCATGTTAAACACATTGTCATGTGTCCCGTATCTGTTTCCAAACAGAAAAACAGCCTAGGTAGAGGGTATCACAATATAAGAATTAAGTGCTGTATTTGATCCTGGGTGTAAACAAGTTGCATCAAAATGTATTTATACATGTAAAGATGCTATGGGTGTTTAAAAAGCCTTGCATTGCTGATGTGAAATGTTGGTTTGTGGAACATTTCTAAACCTACAAAGACAAACTGAGAAGTAAGTCAAGGAGAGCATTAACCAAAACAGCCACAAGATTCCATAAAAACTTAAGAAACTGTAGACATGCACAGCTTAGGTGGTAGAATGTGTTGCCGGGACAACTATTACATTACACTTCTCATATCCAACCTTGAAATGATAAGAAGAAATGCTGCTGACAGAAAACCTAGTGCAACTCAAAAGTCATGTCAGGGACACGGCAACCAGATGGACCAAAAAACTTTTTTTTACCTTTCATTATTGTATATAGCAAGAAACAATAAGATTTCACATTACTCCAACTACACCGTCCAAGTGGTAGAACACGTAGTGGCAGCATTATGCTGTAGGGCTGCTTTTCTTCAACAGGGACATGGAAGTTGGAAGAATGCAGGTGAAGGTCGGTGGGACAACATACAAGTTTAGTCTGGAAGGAAACAAAACTGTTAGCGGCTGCAAAACACTTTAGACTGACTTGAAATTTTAGCTTTCAGCAGGACATTTAACCTAAACACACAGCCCCAGCTAAATGAAGGCATTTTCATACATTAAAATGACCCAAAAATGTCTCTAGATGAGCAAAGCAGGTAGAAGGACTTGCAGCTGTAAGGAAGGTGACAACTGTTTATTTTTTATTCATGAATTTTCATTATGAATAAAACACAAATTAGAGAAACCTGAATTTACTTTAGTTTCACAACAATGTATGACTTAATATAAATCTGTCACAGAAAATATGGACAAATACATAGAAATTGTGTAGCCATGATTTAGCAAAACATGAGGAGTTTAAAGGGTATAAATACTTTATGGACATCAACACAGCTCTGCATCTTAATCAGCCTACGAGGGTATCCACTTTCTAATTCAGATGATTGTCCTCATCTTGGCTCTGCTACTCTGATTGAGATCAAAAACACATTTGGTATCGTATCATAAAGAATTTTACAGAGAGCTAAGCTCCTGTAAGCCCTTTGGTGCAGCATAAAAGATTAAAACACCATGAAAGTTTAGAGCAATGGTTTAACATTTAGAGAAAGGTGCAGTGATGAACCCCTCCCTCATACCAATCTGTTTAGTATTAAAGTAGATCTCAGTTACAACAGCTGCATGAATAGGCAGCAAAATTTTTCCTGTTTAGTGTTTGTGACAGAGCACTGTTATCAAATCTGCAGCGACAAGCCTTCTTATAAAAATACATGTCTTCTAAAACATATTTTCAGATGAATCTTCCCGAGTACAGGAAAACTGTGGTAAATCTTTCCCTTTATTATCATCAGGTTTAATGTAGAGAAATGCAAGAATGCAGGGAAATTCCAACTGCTATTTTAAAATGCATCAAATTGTGTCAAATAAAAAAGTTAAACAAACACTCCTGTTGAATAAATTCTGTAGTGGTTGCATAGTGGGCCTGTAAAGCCCAAATTCTGATCCACTCTCTATCTCCCTCCTCCACAGACAGACATTGGTCCGTTTTCTCACAACCGCACAGACAGCAAATCCTCAGAAGCAACAGAGGAAGATGGCCCAGGGAGGTCAGCTGAACTGGGGCGCAGCGTCGGCTGGGAGATGGATGACTTGGAAGGAGAGCTGGAGAGGAAGGTGGAGCTTCTGGGGAAGGAGAGAAAAGCCCTGAGGCAGGAAGCAGAGAAACACAGACAAGAAATCGACCACAGCATCAGTAAACTGCAACACAAAATGTTAGGACTGGAGGAAGGTGAGGCGTAGAAGGGGGAGAAATAAGGAAGCAAAAGGGTTTATATTGGACTGACTGATGAGATATTATATGGAATATTTAAAGTATAAATCAGATTTGGTTATTTTGTAAAGAAAAAAAAAAAGACTATATAACTAAAAAAAAAAAATAAAACAATGGAATGTGGAATCTATTCTTTTGCATTTAACATTTTAACAGGTGTTGCTGGGCATTCCTTCCCCGAAGGCTTTAGGCTGTCCTTCCCAGCTCGGACCAACTACATGGTTGCTCTTATGAGACACTCCATCCCGAAACTACGGTCCTTGACCGCCTGCCTGTGGCTGCGGCCGGCGGGCGCGGGAATCGGGACCCCTCTGTCTTATGCTGTCCCCGAGCAACCCAATGAGTTGGTGCTGCTTCAAGGCCTGCACACTCCAACTGAGCTCCTCATCAATGACAAGGTATGAAACACGCACAAGGCCAAAAAAAATTAAAACATCAACTGCTTTGAAGGGGGCATCAACCAGAATGATAATCTTTAACAGAGAAATCATAGTTTTATATTTTTAACACAAAGAAATATAAATGTACAGTATATCCAACATAGATTTTTTTTTCTTTTAATACATTTGGTTGTTCTTTTATTTTCTTCTACATCTGTCTAACCTTGCCCCCAAACTGTCAGCATTAACTGTCAAATCTATTTGAAAACACTAATGAGGACATGGTGAACTGTGTCAGAGGAAACTTAGTGCTGCTAAAGACATGTCAGGATTTTCTTTAGAGATCCTGTCAGTATTATAGAAACTAACATTGAGAGCAATTTAGTCCTATAGTGTCCTTTTTTATAATAGTTTAAGTTAGACTTTAATACGATCTACTTGAGTTGTTTGGTAGGGAAATGTTTTAACTTTTTTATTATTTACCAATTTCAGTTGTCTTTAAATCTGCTGCAAGTAATACAAGCTAATCATGTAAAAGAATCTCCCTCTGGGATTATTAAAATATTTTTAATTGAATTTAAAACACGCTGCTCAGTGGAGCAGTGGGTAGCATTGCTGCCTTGCAGCAAGATGGGTTCTGGGTTTGATTCCCGGCCCGGGATCTTTCTGCATGGAGTTTGCATGTTCTCCCTGAGCATGCGTGGGTTCTCTCTAGGTACTCTGGCTTCCTCCCACAGTCCAAAAACATGTCTGTTAGGTTAATTGGCTTCTCTAAATTGTCCTTAGGTGTGAGTGTGTGTGTGTGTCAATGGTTGTTTGTCTCTATGTTGCCCTGCGATGGACAGGCGACCTGCCCAGGGTGTACCCCGCCTCCCGCCCATTGACTGCTGGAGATAAGCAGCAGTTCCAAATAAGAACCAAACCTGTGGCAGATGGCTCCTTAGAAAGTCAAGCACAAATCAGTGAAAAACACAGAAAGGCTTTTTACACAAAGGATCATCTTCCTTTGCAGTAATAATGATAAAAGGATGATGTTTTTGTTGTTGTCGCATTCAAATCAACATGAATCACTAGAGATAAAACATTGTTTTATAATTAAAATACCATCTGCTTTGTTATATTAGATTATTTCTCTGCAATCAGCTAGCGTTGAGTTGCTAACTGTGTGCATAGGAGGCTCCAAATGATATTATCATTCCCATCTTACAAGAGTACTCACATAAAGGTCATTGTTTCATTTTTGATTATTACTTGATGTGCAAATCAGCGAGGTGTTAAGGCTATGGTCTCATTCATAATGTGTTTATGAATATTAAAGAATGCCCTATGCTTTGCATTTTGCATTAAAGTAATAAAAGGCACGACTGATAAAGTGTTTCTCTGATACATCACTCCTGCATTTTAATGAAATACTCCATTTGCTTTTTGAAAGCATTTTGTTAGGTGATCCAGAGCAGCACTGTGATTTTTGGTTTAACTTTTGGAAAGCTATTGAGTGAGCATTGGGGAAGTGAGACTCCTGGATGGCAGCAGAATGGCTGAAAGAATCTAAATACCTAAATTAGATCAAAAAAACTCACAAAAAGAAAATACCAGATATAATATCATAGTAATGATAGAATATAGCTGTATAATGATATGTGTAGACTAAAAAACAACCCACCCCTATTTATATAGGTGGCGAAGCTGCCTCTGAACCTATCTAAAGCGAGCTGGCAGCACATCTGTGTGAGCTGGACCCAGAAAGGTGGAGCATGGCAGGCCTTCCAGGGAGGAAAGCTGAGGGGTGAGGGCCATGGACTGGCCCCTGGACATCACATCAGACCTGGGGGACAACTAGTCCTTGGGCAAGAGCAGGTGAGTTAGAGTTATGTATATTTATAAGACCGACTAAACAAAATAGTTTGTTTTTTATTGATTTAGTCTAGCAGAGGTAGGCAGAAATACTCTGCAAACCAGCTGTTAATGTAGCCATGAGACCTAGATATTTCTTCAAGTCATAACCTTTCTCTGTCAAATTTTGCTTAAACTCACACAGAGCCAAAGGGCTGCCCAGGGTAGGAAGACTGCAGAAACTGAGTCATGTGTGTTTGAGATTTAAAATGTTTCTCTTTTTAAGTGATCTAAATTTCTAACAGGGGTCAAATCTTTCTTCAGGACACGTTAGGTGGAGGTTTTGATTCAACCCAGGCTTTGGTCGGAGAGCTGTCTCAGGTGGGCCTCTGGGATCGGGTTCTGTCTTCTGCCCAGGTTGCCAGCTTGGCTCGATGCAGCAGAGTAACCCAGGGTATTGTGGTCCCCTGGAACGAAAACGGCGTTGAAGTTTACGGCGGAGCCACCAAAGACCCAGGAGAGCCTTGTAGTAAACACAGCAAAACCCTCAGTGACTGATAAAGAATGGAGGGAAAAGATTAATTCTATCCAGTATAATCGCTGAGTCAGAATGTGACTAAGACAATAAATGAGGCATCAAGGGAAATAATATTTGTTCATATTGACGTAAAGCGGGTACAGAGTTTGCAGTAACTTCATAATCTTAACTGGATCTCCAGAGATTTTATGAAGGTAAAAAGATGCTTTCCAGCATAATAAAAAATGTCTACATAAATATAACAGAATAGTTGATATTGTTTAATTAGGTGAAAACAGAATCACAATTTTCAATAAATTCTTCTAAATAGCTACTGGTTTACTATTCAGACAGCCACAAAGTGAGTCAAATATTTTAATATTTAAAATCTTCACTGTAGTTTTCAGATTTAAAATATAATTATCAAGAATTTTGTCACTTTTTTAAAGTAAAAGAGGTAAGCTACTGAAAAAGCATTATAGTCAGCACCTTTCAATCAAGTTAATTGTAGCGTGCCAATGCTAACGTTAGCCCGCTTATGTTAATTTCAGGCTTATTAAAATCTCTGAGCATAGTAAGAGTTTCGCCTGCCTGATAAGTGAGATTATATAAATAACTAGGAAAATGTGAAAACAAATTTTATTTTAACCCACTTTAAACAAAATAACCGTAAAGCAAAAATAAAAAATGTAAACTGAGCCACGTCTCTAGCTTTTATTTGTTTGTATAAAAACAAGGACTCTAACACAAGTTTACTTTGACATGGAAAATATAGAGGATTTTGGTAACATACACACTATGCATCACATTATGACCACTGACGGGTGAAGTGAAAAATGTCGGCTTTCTCTCATGCCGCCTGTCAGTGTCTGGCAGCAAAGTAGATTTGCTCCTGAAAGGTGGTGTCATTGAAGAGGGAAAAATGGGCCAGCATAATATTTTAAGCATTTTTGACAAAGGGCAAATTGGTATGGCTGGGCAACTGGGTCAGAGCATTTGCAAAGCTGCAGCTTTTGTAGTGTTCCCAGCCAGCAGTGCATATCAAAGATATTTGAGGAAAAGACAGAGTTGAACAAGCATCAGTGTCATTGATAGAAAAAGCAATATTGCTGCAGATAGTGACTTAAAGGGGTCATAGAATGCAAAACCGAGTTTACATGATCATAGATAAATATGATAGATCAGAGGGTGAAATGGACGTACAGAGAAGTTCAAACCCCATCGACACCTCCTTTCTCTGCAAATCTCACAACTCTAAATTTCCATCACGCTACTGGTGGAAATCTACCCTGCCAGTGTATAGTCGGGTTGGGTCGCTTCGTTCCCGGACCAGCCCCAGAGCTGACGGCCTCGGTCCCCCTGCACTGTATTTGACCAAAATCCCGAACGATTTTGAAATTCCCCCCAGACATTTTTTTTAGGTATGAAAAGTGGGACATGTACGGGAAAAAGAGGATGTCTGGTCACCCTACCATATCAATCATTTGATGTTTCAGCGAGTGAGTGCTTGTTGCTATGATGCCTCTTTGCTCAGCAGCTTCGCTCGTTGCAAACCAACCAATCAGCGCACAGCTCATCTAAATATTAACAAGCACACCATAAAAGGAAGAAAACCTGTCCTTTTTTATTCTAGGGCTTTTAACCACGCTTGCATTAGGGCGCATAGAACAGCAAATATGCCATTTTCAGCCCAACCAATGTTACACACCCTATTCAGAGACCTTAAGGACCAGCACCAAATGCCAAATAGAATCATTGTATGACCCCTTTAAGGTTTACTTAAGGGGTCTAAGCCAACAGGCCTCAGTTAATTAAATAGTTGAAAAATGCTATGTTTATTCTGGTAGAAATGTATATACATGAGGCTGCGTAGCTTAAGGACAGTCAGGATGCTTATGCTGAGCCACATTTATTTCACTAAAATAAACAGCAGAGAGGACAAGAGTATTGATATGATTGCTGTGATCTCCTGGGAAACATGTTGAGTTTAGCCAACTACATACAGTGTACATGTCTGTGTGATATACATCAACAACCTAAGCGCTGTAAACAGCATTCTCTGATGCTTATGCTTCTGCCAAGATAGCACCCTGTCAAATACAAAAAAAAATAAAAATAAAAAATCAAGAATGGTGGTCCAAACAGTTTTGGCAGCACAAGAGGAATTCATTCACTATAAGAAAAATGGTATGAATGTAAAACTTGATCTGTATGGTTACATTTGTAGGCTATGCTCGTATGGAAAAACAAATGTTTCAAATATGATTTGGGTCATAAAACCTTGTAGCTGTTGATAAGACAAATGATTCCAAATGCAAAATGTTTCCAGCCAAAAACAGCTGAGTCTTTTTTTCTTTTTCCTTAGATATAGGCCCTGACAGGGGTGTCCTGCTAATTTATTACTTATATAAGTGGGAATGCTACAAAGAAGAATATAATACTGGTGTTTGAAATGCAAAATTAGATGGATCCAGCTTTTCAATTTCAAGAACACTGAATTTAACAAGATATACAGAACGAACATTTAGGACATAGTCAGCTAATCAGAACTGGTGAAGTGTTAGCCTACAGGCTATTAGCTCATTCTCTCTGAGTTAATTGAACAGCCGAGGAATTACTCTCTAACAGATTTGAATGTATGAATCTATTTTTTAACGTGACCAGAATTACCTAGCTTTCTAAATCAAACGGTGGCACAGAACAGGCCTGCATGACTTTCCTCATCTGAGTCATTAGAGGATAAACACACTGCCTTTGAAATACACCTAAGCAGTCACTCCATTATACGACTGATTGTCCGCGTTTCAGAACGCACTGCAAAGCAAAGTGCCAAGGTTAATATTTTACCATCCTGTTTTCGTATTGTGCTTCTGGAAAAAAAAAAGTTGACCCTTTTCTTTGAACTGCTGAAAATAGTGATATGATTTCCAATATATGTCATAACTGTCTGAGCACAAAACACCTTTGTGTGCTTATTTTTCTTAAAAAAAGAAATGGTACAAAAAAAATCCATCTGTTCCAAGTCTGAGTCATTCTCCGAGAGCTGAGAGCTCTGTGTGTAAAAGCAGGAAGTTGTATTGGGGAGGCTGGAATCTCTCCATTTGTGCAGCAGGCTTGGAGGGGAATTATTTAAGGGCTGTGACAGCTTTAAAGTTTGGAGTCAAGGTAAGGCGATAAAAAATGTTGAAGAAAGTGTTGGGAATATTAAGCAGTGGATGGCAGCCTGGAGTACAGATGATGAAAGACAAAGGAAAGCATGAGGATGAGGAAAAAGATGGATAAGATATGAATGATTTTACATTGTATTTTTTTTTTCTCTTCTGCATGATGTAATCTAGTACTTATAATGTCTTGCTCTTGCAAGTTGTCGCAAAATAGGCCATTGCATCTTACATTCCTGCTATGTGGCTGTGTTTGTTGTTTCCTAAGGTCTGCTGGTCTTTTTTATTTGTTGAATTCAAGCTTTTATTCTTCTATATTGGCCATTGTTACTTTTGAGAGGTGCCAACATATAATCTTAGTCTCTTTGCACACAAAAATGTTTTTTAATAAGAGCTAAAACATTTTGTTTGTTAATGTAAACCACAACAGTGCATATTTTCTCTTGAAGTGAAAGGAATTTGAAAAAACATCCGGATTGGGAGGTTTTAAAACATCATGATCTCCGTTGTCGTTTACCAACGACATTGGAGATCTGCCCACTAGTGGAGTGGCATAGCAATATCATTTTTTAAGCATTTATTTTAGTGTTATGGAGACAGAGATTGCAGTTAAATGCTCTCATATCCATGTATAAACAGAAACAAAAATATGCATATATTGATTTAATTGATTTTTACTGTGTGCACAGGGCCTTAGTAGTTGTTAAATACATCAGATATTACTTAATAAATGTTTAAAATGCTTAACAGATTTCAAATGTTCTTAATGTTCTAGATGCCTTTGTTAAACCATGATGTGAGATAAACAACAAACCTGCACCTCTGTCACCATTCAAAGACATTCCATGCATGAACCCTAATAGATTGTAATGTGTTGCCAAACCTTTTTTGTCTTTTTGTAAAAACAACTCCTAATAATTCACAATCTTCTGGTATAAACATTTTTTATTTAATTTGCAGAAAATAATTTATGGTGGAAAGTGCCTGTCAGGGTATTTGTACCCATGAACCACCATGGACTTTTATATCCTGAAGATGTTTTGAGCTAATTAGGCATCTAGAAGGTCCCTGATGACATTCGAAGATTAAAGTGGTTTGATTCAATTTTATGTATTCAAGCACATTCCTTGAAGCTTTTGCACGGTGCCATTGGAAATACACTAGAATACGTCAGAACCATCTTGTTGTGCCTCAGCTTGTCTACTGTCTTTGATACTAGATGTCATGCTCTGTGTCTGTTATGCTAATGTCAGAACTTATTAGGGCTTTCTGATTACAAAGTCTGTGGTTTATGATATATGAAACTTAAAGCTACTAAAACTACTTTTGTTTCCATTATGCTTTATGGTTTATGTTTATACTGTTGATTGCATAAATACTGTTATGTCCATGTCTTGTACGGTGTTGTATTGTTGTGAATATGTGCTGTGTAAAACTCAAAATCTTTATTAAAGTTCTAATTTTTTGGATAAAATTGGATTGTTTGGTATCATATAATGGTCCAAATTAAAATATTAAAGATTTCTAAACTTAGTAATGTGCTGATTAGGGTATTGGAACATGTTTTATTATGTTTTAATTATTGAGTTAATAAGCACTCATCCAATAATTCTGCTGTAATCATGATCCAGCTATCAGTAGCAATTTCTTTATTTTTTACTATAAAAAAGCAGCTGCAACATGTTTATGTTTGGGGATTTTTTCTAAAAGTTTAGGTTAAAACTGCAAGAATACCCTACTGGTCCTACACCCACGCTGGTTGGAAGATAAAATACAAACTAGTTGGTTAATTCATACTAAGAAGGTATGAAATAAACGGTGGAGGCCAGATAAACAAACCTTGGATACAAAACCAGAGATACAGGCAGTCTAAACCCCCCCCACCCCCCCCACCACCCCCACCCCCACCCCCCCCGCCCCCCCCAAAAAAACAAAAAACGAGCAGGATGAATAAAAACTTAATTTGAGTCAATATAAAGAATGGAAACAGGTGAGTTGTTTTAAAATATGGAGAGGTTTGGAAACAACAAGGCAGACTGATAGCATCTAAAATATATTGTAAAAAAAAAAAAAAAGAAAAGAAAAGAAAAATAGTCATAGTTTGGAAACAACTAAAATAAAAACAATCCCTCACATAACAAACCCTGATATAGTGAAAGCTCCACTTTCATTCAACGATGCACTCCAAGCTGCAAACTGGTAGAAGAGAGGAGCAGCAGCAGCAACAATATCTCACACACATCACTTGCCAGAGTCAGTAAAATGTTTATCTACATCAAGAGAGAAAAACTTTCTTACTTGCTGTAGCTCAATTGTTTTGTGCTTTAACCAAATAAATGATGCCTTACGTCACAGAGGGAAATAAATAAATTTTGCATGTTTAAGGGCTACTGTTTTATTTTTACTTTTTACCAGTTCACATGACACATGCAAACTGTGGCTTCCAGTACTCTCTCTCTTTCCATATGAATATCCTTATAAAAGGTAACAAGTACCTTAAAATAAAAATTTCACCAAGGAACGCTGGTGACGGGGGA